TATTCATTATAAATATTAATATCCAGAGTTATTTTGTGCATTTAGAAACACATCCAGCCTATTTTTAAGGGCTCAGTCACACTAGATGCAGTGCGTTCCGGCTCGATTTTGCCTGGAACGGACTGCCTCGCATTGCTGCCGCCTCACTTTTTAGTTGGGTAGGAGGGGGCGTGGTGGGCCATTCAAGTGAATGGCGCCGTAGCCACGCCCTCCGGCCGCAATGCGAGGCAGTGCGTTCCGGCCAAAATCGGGCCAGAGCGCACTGCATCTAGTGTGACTGAGCCCTAAAACAAACTGCAGAGCTGGTTAGAACAAACTTATTTGTAAGTCTTTTTGACATTTTAGCTCTACAAGTTTAAACAGAGTCCCGGCGGCAAAAGTCGCCGGGAGTCTGTTTAAACAGCCCCGATGCTGGCGACGTACACTGTACGTCGTCAGTCACGAAGGGGTTAAGTTCTCGTTCACACCAGGGCGTTTGTAGCGTTTTCAGCACAGAAAAGCTCCGCACAAGAAATCCTATTGATTTCTATAGTCCCTGTTCACATCTCAGCACAATGTCGTGCTGAGAAAAAAGCTGGTCGCTGGAACAAGGTACACAAGCTTCTTTTTTGGGCAGATCAGCGCGATTAGGAAAACGAAAAAGGGTCACATCACGCTGATCTCCCTAAAAAGAGGCGCAGGCTTGTGCAGAGCTTTTCCGTGCTGAAAAATACGAATGGGGACTAAAGGATAACTGTACCACATTTATTTTTGTGAATTGCTGCCAAAAGCTGAGCTGCTTATTTAGGATGAGGTCTTATGCTTTGTACAGAGGCATGATTGTATCTCTGTTTCTCTCTCAAGTCTGTTTCTTTTTATACAAGAAAGTATCTTGCTCGCTCTAGAAACTTCAGCTTGGCATTGCATGCTGTTATTAAGTCTGTGATCTGCCAGAACACCCAGTTCTTTCTGACATCATTCACCCAGATGTTCTTTACCTTCAATGTACACTCACCGGCCTCTTTATTAGGTACACCTGTTCAATTGCTTGGTAACACAAATTGCTAATCAGCCAATCACATGGCAGCAACTCAATGCATATCAGCATCTAGACGTGGTGAAGGCCACTTGCTGAAGTTCAAAGTGAGCATCAGGATGGGGAAGAAAGGGGATTTTAGTGACTTTGAACGTGACATGGTTGTTGGTGCCAGATGGGCTGGTCTGAGTATTTAAAAAAAACTGCTGATCTACTGGGATTTTCACGCACAACCATCTCGGGTTTACAGAAAATAGTCCAAAAAAGAGAAAATATCCAGTGAGCAGCAGTTGTGTGAAAGAAAATGCGCTGTTGAGGTCAGAGGAGAATGGGCAGACTGATTCGAGATGCATTAATTGGACCCAGGCTCCCACCACCATCCAGCACCCCTCAAAGCCTCAATTCCCCCTGACCGGTCCACAAACACAATTGATTGCTCACAATCCCCACCAGTGGAGGTTTCCCATCCATCCACCCCTCATCGATGATATCGCATCAGCATTAATTTCTTGGTAAGTTTTTCACTTTTGCTCAAATCTAATCACTTATGGTAGTAGCGCTTCTGTCCCCATTTTTTTGTTCCCTTTGACAAACGTCGGACACCCCGGTCCGCATTCTACCAGCAGGATAGTGCACCATGTCACAAAGCTGAAATTATCTCAAACTGGTTTCTTGAACATGACAATGAGTTCACTGTACTCCAATGGCCTCCACAGTCACCAGATCTCAATCCAGTAGAGCACCTTTGGGATGTGATGGAACGGGAGATTTGCATCATGGATGTGCAGCCGACAAATCTGCAGCAACTGCGAGATGCTATCATGTCAATATGGACCAAACTCTTTAAGGAATGTTTCCAACACCTTGTTGAATCTATGCCATGAAGAATTAAGCCAGTTCTGAAGACAAAAGAGGTCCAACCGGCTACTAGCAAGGTGTACCTAATAAAGTGGGCGGTGAGTGTATGACACATGCAACCTTCTCTAGGGCTGGGACCCCTTGGCAACATTTGCCAAGTTGTGGTGACCCCCCAACGGAAAAACTTTAGGGATGACTTGGCTGCTGCAGTGACATCTGGCGGCGTGGAAAAAATGGCTTGGCCAGCTGATTTGAAAAATGTTCCGGAGGGCTTGGCAGCGAAAGGGTTAAAGGAGACAACAAATCCCAGAGGCACACAACAAATCGCTGCAATAGTCCATTATATTATAATGTTCTATTGCTGGGATTTGTAGTCCTCTGTAGCTGGTGGTGTTCTGCGTTGCGCTGTAGAATTTATTATTGCTGGGAGTTGTAGTCCTCTGTAGCTGCTGGTATTCTGCAGTGTGCTGTAT